TAGCATTGGTTAAATATAAACATTAATTATCTAATAATAATATGGCTTAGCGAACTCGAAGGTTTGATACCGATACCACCAATCGTTGTCTACATTAACGCAATTTTTCCACCTTCGCTTTGGTCTACCCTTCGGAGGCTTACCAGACGATACAGCGCATATTAACTTTTTAGAAATTCTTTCGTTACTATGTCCAACGATTTTACGTGTCCATTTTATTCGCCTCAACTTAATCATCTATATAACCGGATACAGATCACGCAATTCAGCGTTGTGTAACCGCCTAAATTCTCCGGTTGGTTGGTCCTTTTTCGGTCTGAATATTCTTCACAATACTTTATTTTCAAAAACTTCAAGACGTTGCTCATCTGTTAATTAAAGCGGCTACGTTTCGCACCCACAAAGAACCGTAGGAAGGATAATGGTTTTGTAAATTCAAAATTTTAAGTTCCGAGACAGGAGACGAGAACTAAATAGTTTTGACACAGAAAAATAACCAGCATTTTCCGCATTCAACCTGAACATCCTCTTCAATTTCGTTCTTTCTAGTTATTGTAGACCCTAGATACCTAAAATTCTGTACGTGTTCAAACGCGTTCCCTTTTATATCAATATCATCGAAATTGTAGCTGTTTTTGCAACTAACTTGTTTTATCCGTATTTATCTTGAGTCCTAGTGCATTACTGACTTTACAGTACTAAATCATCAGTATACCCATGCACAGATATTGTTCCACCATTATAGACAATATTAATAAACATACACATATGGAACACTTATTCAACATGTAATTCATACCTATAATTTATAAAACACCACCATTAGGCGATCAAGCATACTTCTACAAATGGACCGATCATGCATGGCAAGTATGTTCGTGTGGATATAATCACCCAATGTTAAACACCCTATCTGCTATTCAAACTTCCAAAAATACTATAGTTATACTGCGCCTAGTGAATTCATAAACACCTTAGCTTCTCTAGCTCACATTTGGATAGCAGCTTTAAAACTGCGCAGAATTAATTTTGAGTATTTTAATTACATAAAAAATCATTTGAACCCAAAACTTGAGTGTCTATCATTGGTGCAACAGACGTTGCCAGTATTTCCTAAGGTTCTGCACACATGATTCAATATACCATTATAGGCTAGAGAACACATGCACTACCATTTTACGAAAAATTTTAATTCAGTTGAGAAATACCGAGAAAACAAGAACAAGACGCTATCGCTTTAGTCTACTAAAAACTAGTCTAAAAGTGTTAAAAACTAACATAAAAAATATATGGCGGAGTGACTCACACGCATGTTGAGAACTACTCGCCTTCGCAGATAGAAAATATTGAATTTCGATTCTTCTACGGTCAACCGCAGGAAGCGGGGTATCTCAGTGGGTGAGCACTGACTTCAAGAGCTCAAGGTCCCAGGTTTGATTCTGGCTGATGGTATGATAATAATGTAACTAATAATTTTTCATCAGCAATGGGTCGACACGGGAATCGGGAGACCCTTCCAGGGCGAACCTCGCCATTGTAAAGCGGGTACTCTTAATTAAATAATTAATCAAGGGAAAAAAATTGGCGGTTGAGCGTGATAATGGCCCGTCAGCTACCTGCAATACCTTTGGTCCTGTAACAGTACTTCCTCAAATTGTACTGGAACCAACCTTTATAAATTGTTAGTGGTACAGGTTTTTCGTTTTTTTTTTTTTTTTTTTTTTGTGCAGTATGTCCTGCAGCGGTCTATTAGAACGTGTGTGACGGGTATGAGTTTTCCATGAATAACTTATTGGTGATACATAAAAGATCAAAATTTCTATCAATTTTATCCTTTTGATAAGATCAATCCTCAGAACAAAAGCTATAGTTCACATTAATCTTAAAAATATCTCTTGAAGTATCTATTACCGGTACATTTAACTTAATGTAACGGAAAATTTAATGTTCGTTTAAACCATAAATGCTAATAAATTAACTTTTCTTTTTCTTGCTCAATTACAACTACTTAGTTAAATAGAATTGATTCCTTCAACTTATGATATATTACATTAACTTTCTAATTATTTTTTCATTTATCTACCAATATAATAAACGGATTATTATTGATTAGTAATTATTAGTAATAATATGTACGAAGAAAATTTATACGAATATGATCTTGCGAATCCCTCACACATAAGACCAAGAATACATCAAACCGTGGTGGGACATCAAAGCCACTTAACTGAAAGTGAAAAATCACAGTTTGCCAGAAAGTGGAAGGAATGACAAAGAGCCTAGTGAAATATTAACAGAGTCTGAGGGATGGGGGGCGGGGAGGGGGAGAAGGCCTCTGTTCTGTTTGCCTATCCCATTAACCACTTAGCGCCACACTCTCTTCACGATAAATCTCATTAAAACAAACCTCAAACTGATTTCATGTCTTAGAGGGCTCAGTTTACCTGTGTCTCTAGCAAAGCTATTCAGTCTGTTAAGTGATCTCTACTCTATACTCGGGCTCTTAAGCGGGTAATAGCCTTCCGAATTAAGCACGAATTCCCCATTTAACATATAATGTATTAAATAAAAATATGGACGAAATTACCTGATTATGGCTAGGTGAGTGAACCGACCAACATTTTTATGATGGGTTTTAATGTACAGATCCGATTTTCCGGGTGCAATTAATATAAAAGGAAAACTTTTTGATTAACAGAATTTTAAGATCAATTTACATTAAATATTTAAATAAATTTTTAATTCAGAGTATGTAACTTCGGTTTTTTAGGTTTCAACGGAAATACACGTTTTGAGGTCTTCTGAGTCCTGCAAAATGGTCTGTATGTTTGTGTATATGTGAACAGTCTAGCTCAAAAACGAAAAGTCGTACGAAACTGATATTACGTATTTAAGATAAGTATATGGCTGAGATGTTACAGCAATTTTTTCCTTAAAAACGGCTCACAGTAAGTGCCACTTTATATCATCGGTGAAACACATTTTTCTCCCAAACGGCTCTAACGACTTTGATTAAACTCGGCGTTTCATTAAGTGGTCTTTAGTATCATTTAGGTCTTATCCCCATTGATGTCACTTTGCAAAGCTTAAATACCCAGTGTTCATATAATACGTCTTCGTCTAAAGTATCTTTAATATGGTTTATTTAAGAAAAAAATAACTCTCTTTTATTGAAAGTAACTATAAAAAAATAGCTTAATATGAACTTTGAAAGAATATGATAATTGAAAACTGAAGAAAAAAAAAATGCTTATCCAGTCTGCAACAAATCTCCGGAAATAAGTCAGATGGTATACGTAAAATATATCGTTGGAAAACGGAGAATGTTAGAAAAACAAAAGATAACGAAGAATTTATAGTACGTTTAGACGAAAAAAGGAATATACCAATTCCCAAAATAACAGGAATGAATAAAAAATATATAAAAAAGGTGAGAAAGCTTCGAAATAAGTGATAATACCGGTTTTAATAAAGAGAAATAAATCAGCATTAGAGGGGAATAAAAAAGGATCCTGAAGACATAAACATAAATCGCTTTTAACATTTATTCTGTCACCAAGTTCCGTTTATGTTGCAATTCCTGAAGGTAGCTACCTCACCCTTCACCGTTATGGTTATTTATAACCGCTTATTATCACTGAACTTACTCCCGCAGTTATTAAACAGGTGCTCTTTTATTTCAGTCATCTCTGAACGAATTGAGAGACCCATAAGAATCCATGCTGTTAGTTGTGAATGTGAAGCAATATACATGCAATATGTTTTATCGATTAACAAAGTACATGTAATTTTAAGGACATGTATTACATTATATGTAAGTAGAATATGATGGTGAAAAATAGTCGACTTTAGATAATATGATAGGGTTGCGCCAATTAAGAAAAAAATAATAAATATAATATATTTTAACTTTATTTCGTGCCAACGTTTTGATATTGGTTTCAGGCCTTCACCAGGGCTGTGGAAAGAAAAGATAATAACCACAAAAATATTAAAAACTGTTCTAAAAGATATATGGTACAAAATATATGTTATATGGTAATAAATAAATTCTAATAAGTGAATAAAAAGTTTTGCAAGACTAATTAAAATATGTAAGTACTTTATGTTTGGTATCAAAACATAAATAAAATATAACAAGAAGTACATTTTAGAATTTTAGTATAAGGAGATAATGGATTGCTTGATACAACACGAAAAATGATTTATTATTTCTTATATTAAAGTTTTATAACATTCAGTAATAGTAATAATATTTTATTATCATGCACAATTGCACACAACACTAATATATTTTAATTTATCTTACACAATTTATTTTTTTATTCCTTTCTTATAACGCATTAATTAGCATAACATATATTTTGTTTTCACATCGTTTTATAACAGTTTTGTAATATTTTTTGTTAGTTTCTTTCCTTAGCCCTGAATCTTATGCCGGAACGTCGGCATAAGATAAAATAAAATAATTTTATTAATGTTTCTCACTGACTACAATCGCCTAACTAAATGAAATACAAATATCATCGATCATATGGCGAGTGTTAAATTATTTCAAATATCATCCAATATTATATTAATTCAGGAGAAAAATTATTAGAAATAAGTCGTTAACTTATTATAATAAGCAAGATTTAAAAACATAACTATTTATTGTATCATCACTAAGTTCATGTTATTTTTCCTTGAGATGAGTCTTATACAAGATGTTTTATAAGCGCAGAAATAAGAAATTATTCAGATAGGATATAAATCATCTAACTACTAAAATATCTAATATTTAAATTAAATAAAATTACAGATTAATAATACCGTTGTTTTCTTGTTCTAAGTTATTATTGATTATTCATTACATAATTTTATTTATTTAATTAATTTTATGTAATTTATTAATAAATGCAATAATTAATAGATGTAATAATTAATGAAATTGCCCAAGTCAAATGATCCCCATTAATGAAAACTTTAAGATAACATAATAAAAACATAAATGTACTTACATAAGACCTCCAGCGTAAGTATTTCTCTCATCGGTTCCTCTTTTCGTTCTACCATGATCTCGTTGCTTGCCTCGCAGCCAAGCGTTTGTTCGTTTTCGAATCTGGTCGCGATGAAGACCAGCTTGCTGATTGTATCATATGTACCGTCTCCCTGTAAACAATATTGTAATAAATAATAATAGTAAACCAATGATATCATATATATATATATATATATATATATAATATATATATATATATATATATATATATATATATATATATATAACAATTGATATATGATAGTAACATCATGTTGGCGGATTTAAAACAAAGTGTTTCAGTAAATAATATTATTCATAACGAATAACAAATAAACTATAATTATTTTTTCTCATTTGTCTAGTAGTAAAAAATTGTGTTTTCTTTTTTTTTTTTTTGTATATTACTTTCTTTTTATTTGGTCGTATGGAGATACTCAACACCCCTCCTCAGCAACTAGAATTGTATACAAATATTTAATTTAATTTCTATAATTTCTTATTTAAAACTTTTTAAATCTGAAAAAGGCAATAAAATGTACTAACATAATTTACCCCAGTATTTTTAATTTATTTTTTAAATAGTTTCAAATAGTAATTTATTTAAATTAAATTATTTTTTAAAACTAGTTTTAAGGGAATATAAATGGCTGGTTCAATATAGAACTTATAATATATTTTGTATGTAATTCTAGATGCTGACGAGGGGATTATTCGAGTTATGAATAATATTATTTACTAAAATTCTGTTTTTTTAAATCATTGTTAATAATACTTTTTTTTAGTCTGCATCGATAAGGTAACAGGGAGCAGGAAATAGAAAGAACTAATGGATTGAAGTGATTTAGAATTGAAGATTGAAATAAAGTGTATTTGTCGTGAATGTTCAAGTATGTATTTTACTGTTGGGATGTTCAAGTCGTTATTTATAGTGTTTGTTTTTGATTGTGTTGTTTGTATTTTGTTTATGAGTGTTTGTTTTGCCGAATCCCAAACTTCTGCTCCGTATGTCCAAATTGGTCTCAATATGGTGGTGTAGATCAGTAACTTGTTTTGTAAGTTAAATGAGGATCTGTAGTCTAGAAGATGTGAGAATTGGTTATAATAATAATATTAAAATAATAAAATTTATTTATATAATTAGCCCAACTCATTTTTTATTATTGTTTTAAACAAGAAATTATTTCAATTGAACTAACCTTAAAAAATTCAATTTTAAATAAATATAGTAACTGGTTCAATGTAGAACCTAAAATATATCATTTATGTAATTATAGATATTGGAGGGGAACACCAAGGATCACAGAAACGTCTAAATAAAGAAAATACTATAAATTAAGAGTGTTCATCTAGTTAAGGTAAACTTAGGAGTAGATACCAGATTTCCATGTTATTGCACGTTTTATTCGCTTATGTGTAAAAACCATGTAGCCGAATATATATCCGTTTGAGGATCTGTATAATAACACATTAAAGTTTTATATTGCACGAAATTGCATGTTTTGTCGTTTTTGGCTTAAATTGCACGATTTTAATTTTTGTTGTCTTAAATTGCACATTTTTGAACATTTTGTGCTAGATTCAATTATTTATAGGTATACATATATATGTGTTTGTAAATATCTACTTTTTTATTTAATAATGCTGTTCATTTTAAATCTATAATTTAAGAATAAAAAATATGAGGCAGGTAAATGATTCTGTGACAGGCAAAACTTCGAATTTACAGTTTATTATCGAATTATAAAAGGATGAAATAAACACTATTGGAGACAGGCTATTCCTGGAATAGAAGTTGCTTGAATTGGTTCAATAAAAAACTGCTTTGCTTGTTTTGACTTGGATTCTCACTCTTAGTTTAGTCCTTCAGTATCCTTTCCGGCTTTGAAGGGTATCATAGATTATTATGAATTTCGGCATAAATAAAAATTTTACTCCGTAATTGAAAAAAATAGAGATTACAGGTTACTTATAAATATAACGATTGCATTACAAAGAACCAGCAGTGGTTATTTGCTACAAAATGAATCCCCTTAAATCAGTTAATGCTGAGCGCTTTTATTCTCAATTAAAAGGCTTATTGAATGACAACAGAAACAATTTTTCAGAAGCAAATTTCGAAATGTATAACATTGTAAATTTCAACTCGATTAAAAAATAAAGTTTTCATTATAATGTGGACAATTTATAATTATGGGCGTGCATTTATTAATTTTAATTAAAATTAAATATCTGAATTCAATTGGTTTGGTGTGTGTAATATATCATCCTTCATACCTTTAATCTTTAAAGTTCCTCTTCATTACTTCATCCCTTGTATTTGCCAGGCAATTAACCAATTTAAGCGAAATTTGAACAAATATATATAATTATTTAGACCTTCCTGTATTTCTGTTGTTAATCATCTTTAAATTTTATATTATTTATGTTATTCCTTATGTTTTTTTTTTTTAATGTCTGTTTCTTCAAGATTTAGATTACTCGTAATTTATTTTGTATTAGATTATGTATTTTTGTCGTTAATTGATTGTAATATGGATTTTAATTTTTAATGTTCCATTTTATTGTTGTTTTTTTTTTGACAAAATTAATTCAGAAGCTTAACTTAAGGTTTGATATAATTTCAACATATCAATATTATAAATTACAAAACAGATGATGTTTGCACGTTTTGAGGTGTAAATTAGACAATTTTACATATTTAGAATTTTTACTGCACGCTTTTGCACATTTTTAGTTTTTTTCTGCACGTTTTTCGGATCTTTACTGCATGAAGACTCGGTCTCTAATTATGAGCAATGAATGAGAACCGATAGAAAATGTAAAAAAGAGGGTCAAAATTATATACTGTAATATTAACATTGGGTTTTTAAAAAATCATAATTGTAAGCTCCGTAAGTCCGGCAATATTAACTACGTCGAACTATAAGGCTTAACTATTACCAAGGAAACCTCATCAAACTTTCTGAGAGGAAAGTAAATGTAAATTACTTTCAATCAATAAACTATGATTGTTCCCCCTCGGTGAATCTGATTAAGGTGCATTTAAAATTTAAAGCACAAAACTCGATCAGTTTTGTTAATTATTAAATTACTTTAAAAACAAAGAAAATTGCTTTAAAAATACAAAAACTAGTTAAAGAAAATACGAACAATATTGTAAATAGACGTTGGGTCTTCTAGAGATGGAATACATTATTGTCGGAATGGAATAAATAGAACACAAAATCATAGAACTATTTCCTGTAAAGAATAAGAAACAAAAATGGCAGGTGTGTGTTGACGTGAAAGAAATGGAACGAGATTGACAAGAGCATGCATTGGATTGACAACCTTCCTTCTATACCCCGCAATATTTTTACCAGAGTCACGAACTCAAAAGAAATATTCAAGTCTTTACGTTACAGATTCCTTATATATGTTATCCACAATTGTGTTATATCGAAAGCTGTTTATAATGGACTGTTTTTTTAATTAATATATGGGGCACGCATACCAAATTATAATTATCTACACAATACAGGGTTTCCCATAATTAAAGGAAAAAATATATATTTTATATGTTTTATAGACCTTAAGTGCTAAAAAAACAGTTCATATAAACAGTGGGCCACATTTCAAGTTTCGTGTTTTTTTAAGAGTCATATTTTTACTATGACCTGGAGCCCACATGTCAAAATGAAACGAAAGACTTTGAACAAACGACTAAAAATACTGTACTCCCTTTTTTCCAAATCAAAATTGAAAATCAGACAAAAAATAAATACGTACACTTACCTACTCAAACACATATGGACATATGCATCACAAATTTATGGTTCTGCAAAAAAGACGCACTTACAAAAACTAAAATCATTTCAATCCAAAATTTTAAGACTAATAACAGCAGCTCCCTGGTACGTAAACAACAAAACTTTACATATTAACTTACAACAACCAACTGTCGACCAACACATACGTACTCTCTACTCCCGATTTCATCTTAAACTATATGGACATCACAACCGACATCAACGACATGGCCACAGCTGACATGCCTATCAGGAGACGACTAAAGAGGAGCTGGATGAGAGATCTTTCCTAAATTATGAAGTAGATCAAGACCAGGAAGAGGTACTGCTGGGAACTAATCTTCCCCATGCCTTAAATGACAATTTTCTTCACTATGAGATCACATCTGCTTATTATCAATTCTATGGAAGGTGTGGATAGAAGTATGAAGAGAGAGAAAAAAGTGTATTATATTATATTAAAAAAAAAAATGGATTATTTGGAACTTTTGAAGGACATTTGAAAATGGCATTGAAGCCGGAACGTAATGTTTTATTGATGAAAGAAAATTGTTGAAGTAATGAGGTCTTTCGTAAGATTGCAATCGTTTATTGTTTAAATGTAATAATCATATTAAGAACCCACTAAAAAAGAATCACCGAAGTAATGTTTCCATAATATATATTCACTCTTGGTTTTCAAACAGTAAAATGACCTTCTGAAATAGCTAACACAATCTAATAATGTGGAACTTGCAAAGCCCGATAAACATAATTGAAGTAATAATATCTTGGGGTTGAATTAGAAACGTAAAGTTGCTGGGCTAAGTTAATAAAAATTTTATAGTAGTTTACCTGTGCTGAAAAGAGCAAAACGTTATAACCTAACTTGTTTAGTGGAGTTTAGAAGTTTAGTAATGGTTTCGACATGAATCCTTTAAATTCCCCTAATCATATCACTATTACTGTTGCTAACAAAATTGCAGTATAATTACCACAACATTTTAAGCTGAAATACTTTATTTATTTATGAAATTTACAACTGTACAAATTCCATTCAGCAAATGTGATACAAAGAAATATATGACAAGACAAGGCTTGTAGAGATACCCATTGGTAGCACTATAACGCTGTTTTTTTCTTTTTCTTTTTTACGCTAAAATACAAAAAATAAATTAATAAAAGTATTAAAATCATACTGCATTTGGGTAATTTAGCGCTATCATAAATACTCGATTTATACCAAGGTCATGAAACAGAGGGAAAACTATGCATAGATGAGTAATGAAATACGAGTATTGAGGGATTTTTACAGTCAGTAAAATGTTTCTCAGAATTTGATGGATTTATGGGCAAGACTGACTCCTTCGAACTTTTGCTTAACCATGTCTTAATAACACTACTTGCATCAATTGTTATACTAAATTTTATTATGAGTCCTTTGATACTGACTTATGCGTTCCAACAGCAACAACCCACATTCTTATGATATATACGGTGAAACTCATTGTCATGACAAATTGCATGGACACATAAACAAATTTAAACAACAAATGACAACAAATAACATTCCTGATGTACCTCGGTGTAGGTGGAAAAGCAGTTGGATGAGAGACCTCCTAGTGTACTAATAAAATAATAATAGCTTAATGTCAGTAGTATGAATCGCTGGGCGCTATCTCCCTCATGCCATTTATTGTATCTTATATTCATGTATATTTTATATTAGCTCATTTGCTGATTGAAATATTTTACAGAGGCAAATAAAATATTTGAGTCATAAAAAAAAAATATATAATTCTTAATTTCTTTCTATTAATATCGTTAGCTAATAATTTATTCTGTTAGACTACGTTCCTATTGTAAATATCCTACCTATATTTTTATTTAATCCCTAATTTCTCACCATTGGAATTCATCTTTAGTTATTATATTTAATAAATTTTCTTTTACCATCATTTATTTATTATATTTTCTCATAATTTGAATTATTGAAGTGTATATGCATCATGTTTCTTAAAATATGTATTTTATGACACATATGTGTTTTACGTCACAAGATAGTACGAGAAGAAATACATATATTAGTGACGAGATGTTTAGTAGCAATCTGTTTAATTTAAACAGTTTATTTCATTAAACACACACAGTTTAACTTTTCCACTTGAAATTAAACAGATACAAGGATTACCTTGCATTAGGAAGAGGCAGATTCTTACAATCAGCTCTGAATTCATCGATGGCATCGAATAGATCACTTAACTGAGCAAAACCATTCGTGTACTTAGCGATTAGTGAAGGAAATTATCCAAGCCCTCTCACAGTACAGTTTAGTAGGAGACAGCGATACCAACGGGAAAAGAGTGAAACACTGAATCTGTTTGATTGAACAGCTTTCCGAAACAGATATAGAAACCTGTTTCATTAAACAGCTTCTTGCAACAGATACAGTCCTCTGAAACAGATAAAACTCCCTACAACAGCTCTACTGCACACAAAACTGGCCATTGCACTATTGCAACTTATAAAGAGCTATGCAGTTTCTGTCCAATGAACGGTTTTATAGAGTAATTTTCCAATCTAATTACTATTTAATCGTTATTTTCATTAATAAATTGACCAATTATCTTTAAAATATGATATGATATTAATTTAAAAAATAAACCGAAAATTACTTAGAAGATATAAATTATACTCATATCTTTTAAAATAGTGTAGAGGTCACACAAGATACCTGTGTTTTTTTTTTTTTTTAAGTACCAGAAACTGTTGCAACTGTTACTGATGGTAAACAGTTTTACCCATAACTAATATGCATCCAATACAGGATAATCTAATGTGGAAAAATGGAAAACTTTTCTTGCCATTTCATTCTCCCTTTTTTTTTTTTTTAACAACCTAAGTTGGTTATTAATATTTGTTGAATGCAAAGGTAAATATAAAACTTTTAATGAGACCGTCTTCGAGGTACTGGAAAGAAAACCGAAACTCTTTGCCTACCTCTTCCCTTTCCAGAATCCTCTCTTGGTGCCTCGAATTTCTTTTTAACAGTTTCCATATTCTTTATGCTGTCTAAAAGTGATTGCCTCTTTTGGGAGGAAAGAGTTGAGAACTAGCGAGTTGGTCCGGATTGTCTTGATCGACGAATGGCCTTGTCTTCGTTGATTAACAAATGAGCTACCGTGGTGCACTCTATTTTGCTAAACGTCAATTTACGGGATCCTTTGTCGGCCTGGCGGGAGTTTGAGGAAACTTATAGTCCGTTCCTCTGCAACTACATCCATTGTCGGCTTTGTCCTAACTTTTAATGAAACGTAAAAGTTTCCCTGGCGCGCACACTGGAAGGATTGTGGGGGTGAGTAGCTCCTGACTTGAGAGGGAAGGAGAACTTTTTTTTTTACTCGTTTTTTATCATCATGAAAGTTGAACTTGGACACTATCTTTTGAGACGGATACGGCCCTTTATATCTCATCCCGGTCACAGTTTGATTTATTAAATTTCTTCTAAATAATATCGTAATGGCATTGTTTCATTTTTTTATTTTGTTTTCCCAGACTTTTTCAGAGACAGGAAACTATTTCTATAAAAAATGCAACATAAAAACGAAACAAAAACTACGCTCGTGGAATTAATTATAAGGTTGTTAATGTCTAACTTTTTCCAACAAAGGGAAGGACACAGATACAAAAATAACTTTTATAAAAACACATTTAATCACATCATTTTTTTTTTTTTTTTTTTTTTTTCTTACCCTCCAAAAAGTTTATTGAAACAATTACATATATAGTATACAATAATACAATATAAACATGTAATAAATTCCTTCCACTGCCCGAGGGCATTTTAAGGATTGGGGATAGCTAAAGGTTACATATGTGGCAGAAGGCCTTTAATCACATCAACATTACTTATATTGTTATATCTCAATGAATGAATCGCATTCAACGTTTAAAATGATGTACAAAATGCATTTAGATTACGGAATTAATTAAATAATTCGTTTATTTCCAAAGCTAGCTGTAATCATCATTGAATATTTTAAAGGAAATGCGAAAAATAATATTCGCTATTCCAATTTCAATATCAAACCCATTGTTTTTTTTTAAATTAAACTAATAAATTCTTAATTTGCAACACTTATTAAATTGCAATAATTTTATAATTAATACATAATTTCGAAAATTACATATTATTACAATATTCAATAAACAACATTTAAACACCAATTGAGTCACTTTTGGAACGAATCAAACTTTGAAGAATTAAACAAAACAAAAAAGGTTGATTGGGATTAGGTTTGGAGAGAAAAAATGATTTTCGTTCGGTGAAAAAAGTTATTAACACTTGTCTAAAAACATAAGTTTTTTTTTAATAATGGTAAAGTAAAATAAATTTATTATTAATTTTCATTTGCATAAAACGGTTAAAAAGTGTTTTGATTTTTTATTAAAATTGAAAACATAAAAGTTTAAATACATTCCTTAAAAAAAATAATAATGAATCTTCGTTCAATTCAGATTCAGAATTTGGTAAAAATATACAAGGGTTCACTCTGGAAACACGTGACTTATATAAAATATGAATTTGGTTGTGTTTATTCTACATTAAAATTTATATACTTTATAAAACACATACTGATTTATTTACTTTCTTGGTCCTAGTACCTAGTACCTGAGTATGATGACTTGAATTTTTTCTCAATATTTTTTTTTTTTGTTTTAATGAAATTTACAACTGTATTACATTAAAAATACAACAAGTAAATGTGACATTGGTAATATGACATGTACAAAATGAAGAGAAACTACCCATTTGTAGAAATCAAATAAAAGTTCTATATTAGAAGGTCCCGAGGCCATCTTCTTTTCAGACGCCTTGGAGGGTTATCAGGGATCCAGGAGAAAGCAAGGATGGACGCGAGAGGGTTCGGATGGTTCTGCAGTTTGTTATAGAATGATAGGTATCTGGATTGGGCCAAATCGGAAACATATGGATTTTATTTGTTTTACAATATAAAATCATTTTTCTTCATTATTATTAATTGATTCCATATATGTACTCATTCATTAGACAATGAATAAGTACATATATATCTAATAAGGAAGTTTATTGCTAACTGTTATTCATCTGAACAACTGATCAAAGGAGTTTAATGGAAAATAATGTAAAGCCATTCTAGCCAAATCGGATATGCCAATAGTGCAGAAGGGAAAATTGGTGGCTGGCTATATTTAGCATTACCTGTGATCATTTGCTTTTAACAGCCTCAAAGGACAATCTAATGAATGTTACAAACTTTATTATGGTGTATTGTCCATCTCATTGTCCACTAGTCCTATTTAGAGACAATTATTATAGATATTAAATCAGGCTTTTATAGTCTCCTAAAATACATTTTTTTATTAATGGAAATTGGAAAGAGGTAATAGCGAAAATTATTATAATATTATGTTCAGTGAAAGGTCAATAGTTTTTTTCTAGGCATTCATTCAATTCTGATCTGATGTTGTAAAACAAGACCACTTTTTCAAGATTTGTATTCACTTTATTTAATGTTATCACATTATTTTTGCACCTAATCCATAAAATCATAATCATAGATAGATGGGGTTCATGCATTTAAACTCTCACTTTAATAGGTAGGTTATATGTATAGTAAGATAAAGTATAACAAATCGTGTATGAAGTATAATAGGGAGGCAAAGTTTGTCTATTTAACTAGGTATTAAAAACTCGTAAATAAACATTTGATTTCTACTTGAATCGTAAGATAATTTGATCACAAAATCGAGAAAAAAGGTGCCCTTCAAAAGAGTTTTTCAATTCCAAGAGTTTTAGTAAATTGTAGGACACAATGATATGAAACTATTTACGAAGTTTCAGGCAGATGTTAATAATTCGATAAAACGGGGTCTGTACCACAGTTTAAATAGTTCTTTATTTGATCTATACAAAGATAAATAATTGGCCTATTTAAACTGTTAACAAAATAGTTAATGATGTAATTTTATAATTTATTTTTGTAAATTCAAATATTTCTTTATTTTAGTGGCTCTTGTGTATCCTTTCTATTTTTTATTATATAATGATGTGTGGGTTATGTTTCTATGTATACGTTTCGCTATTCAGTTTGAAAATTAAACTTAACACCGGCAGTTAAAAAGTTTTAGTTACAATTTACTAAATAATGTTAAAGTATCGATTGATTCATACACGACGAAAGCAATCTATTATAGAACGTGGAAGTTGATGAATCAATTCTTCAAATGGCAGACAAACTTCCTACGAACATATGTTTACGAAAATCGATTCTTGATTTCATTTTTCATTAAATATAAGATCTTTATATACTAGGTAACCTTTACTTCACTGCCTTTTTTAATTTATTTTTAAAAAAATATTTAAAATCATATAGAGATTTATGTAGAACCACTATGACTCGAGGTTCGCTTCAAAGAGTAGTTAAATCGATATAGATAAAATATTTCTTACGGCTCATGTTTGGCAGGATCTACGATTTATGCTTATGTTCTCAAATCGTTTTTTGTAGAAGAAACCTTTAAGTCTAAAATTTCTGAAAGACACCTCAAATAACTTTTTCGACGTCCTGCGATCTCAACACGTATCTCCGAACAGTTTAAGCTATCTAAATATATTCGAGAACGGAGTCACCAAACCAATTATATGAAATAATCAATACTTTCGATTTAATATATCACAATAATAAAATGTATGCATTTAATTATATATTCAGATAGAAATATAATAATAAACTCCTCCATACTTTAGTTATTTTATTTTTCCAATCTGAAGTTTTTGTAAGAAGTTTTCATTATCAATTATTTCAGATTTACATTTTTAAATTACCTCAAATATATATATCTTTATGTTCAAGAAAATATTTCCACTGATGTATAGCAGCAATCATAATAAAATGTATCAATAATAAAAGTACTCTGGATAAAGTATGTTTAATATTTATTTTTCAGCTGAAATCGGGCAAGTCAGAAATTGGTTTCGATTTTAAACTTAGATAAGAATTATAAACAGCGCTTTTAAACTAAATGAGGGACTGAAACAACTAATATAACGTTCATTTAAGATTAAAATCTCAAGCAGATAGTGCTTAACTTTTATCTAGCCAAGGATTTTATGTTAATTATTAATCTGGTGGTATTGTTCTACTTTTCTACGGCAATGACTTCATTTCGTATAAAAAGTCTTGAGAAATAATGAACGAATATTAGTATGTTTATTATAATTGTACAAGGCACGCTTTATTATGAATGTTATATACTAGTGTTGCCCAAAATCGGTCTTGGTCTTGCACTTTGCAAGATTTTTTAAATAAAAATTAAGGCGAAATAGTGACTAATACTTGACAATCTTAGTTACTATATGTAAAGAATTGGTAAAACCAATATACTTTTACATTTAACTCCTTTAATTTTTCATTCGGGCCTAGTTAGGTTTCTCCTATCTAAAAAATTACAGTAATATCTCTATAGTAATAAACTGATAAGTAACTGCAAGACTGTTGCGAGACTCTTGGGCACGACCAAGACCATGACCAATACTGAGTTTGCAAGACCAAGACTCGTCTAGGTCTCGCATTCGGGCAACACTATTATATACATAAATTAAAAAGTCTATTAATTTTTTTTTTAGTTTTAGAAATAGATTAAGTTAAAGTTGAGTATCAATTAATATTCATCATAAAAGGATTAAGCAGGTCTTTAATTATGATTTTATAAATAAAAGTCTGATTTTGATTTTAGCTGACTATCAGTTCAGAAACCAAAAAAAAAAAAAAAAAAAATCTAGAGCGCACAACACACAACTTTCACTTACCACTCTAACTTGAATATAAATTATTTTCTGGCAATTATGAGCCATTATAACATTTTTGAAGTGCGCTTTTAACGGAGCTATAGCTAAAAGCTTACAGCTAACATATTAAGACCACTAAAATAACAAAAACCCTATTAATTATATCAACGATAGACAATAAAAACCTCGGTTCATCTGTTTCTGTAAACCACTTAACTCCAGTCTCTGAGTTTTATATGTGTATGTATATATATATATATATATATATATATATATATATATATATATATATATATAATATATATATATATATATATATATATATATATATATATATATATATATATATATATATATATATATATATATATATATATATATATATATATATATATATATATATATATATATATATATATATTATCACAGTTCAGAGACTGGAGTTTATATATATTACCACAGTTCAGAGACTGGAGTTTATATATATATATATATGTGTGTGTGTGTGTGTGTGTGTGTGTGTGTGTGTGTGTGTGTGTGTGTGTAAAGAAGCTTCAGGTTATAACGAATACCCAATTTTAAGTTAATTATTTAATTCATACATTTAGCAGATGATGTTAGACTAAACGCAATATAACTTGA